GGGTATGATGATAGGAAACGGTTCAAGTTGGCTGTCCTTAAACTCACTAAACTAGCTGCATTGTGGTATGAAAACCTCAAGTCAAATAGAAGAAGAGAAGGGAAAGATAAGATAGACTCGTGGGAAAAATTAAAAAAGAAAATGAGGGAAAAATGGGTAAGTAAAGAGTATGAACAAGATCAATACTTAAAATTAACCCACCTATCACAAGAAAACATGAGTGTGGAGGATTACATAAAAGAATTTGAAAGGTTAGGCTTGACTTGCGACTTGCAAGAAAAGGAGGCTTACAAAATTGCTAGATTTGTCAAGGGGTTGACCAAAGAAATTAATAGGAAAGTGGAAGTTACTCATTATGCCACTTTTAGTGATGTATGCAAACTAGCTTTGAAGTATGAGTCTCAACTTAAAGAAGAAAGGGAGAAAGAGAAGCCCAAAACTTCTTCTTTCAAGAATACTTCGAAATTTACTCCTTTCAACTCTAAAGGGAGTACTTTTCAAAGTAAAACCTTTTCACCTAGCTCATCAAAAGGGAAAGAAAAACAAGTAGTTTCGCCTAGTGAGCTTTCAACTAGGAGAAAATGCTTCAAGTGTCATGGGAGAGGACATATTGCATCGGAATGTCCTAGTAAGAGTGTGTTAACAGCCTCTCAATGTGCTCTCATGGATGAGGAAGAAAAGGTCTATAACTTTGTGGCTCATGAGGAGGGTTGCGAGTTTGATGAAGAGTATGAGGAAGAGATTCAACCCGAAGATGAGTTCAACATGATGGTGGTTCGTAGAATCTTGTATAATGAACCCGAAATTGATCTTAAACAACGAAACAACTTGTTCCACACTAGATGCAAGATAGGAGAGAAGACTTGCAATGTGATTGTTGATAGTGGTGCCCAAACAGATGTTGTTTCATCCGAGGCTGTGAGTAAATTGAAGCTACCCACTAGAGACCATGGTGAACCTTACAAGCTCAATTGGTTGAATGATGGCACAAGCATTAGAGTCAAGAAGCAAGCATTGGTGTCTTATTCCATTGGAGGGTTCGAAGATGAGCGTTGGTGTGATATTCTTCCTATGGATGCGTGTCATTTGTTGCTTGGAAGACCGTGGCAGTTTGATCATGATTCGGAGCATAAAGGGAAAACTAATGTGTATATTGTAACTACCAAAAATGGTAGAAAAGTTAAGTTAGTGCCTTTACCTCCTAAAGTTGCTAAGAAAGAAAAAGAGAAAAGCAACTATCTTGTAACTTGTAATGAATATGAACGAATAATGAAAGAAATGGGGGGAGGGTATGCTTTGGTGGTAAGGACCAAAGATGATAATGGTACTACTTGTATTAACTCATCCATGCTAAATGAGTTATTAGAAGAGTACCAAGATGTGTTCCCCAATGACTTGCCCAAAGGCCTACCTCCAATTAGAGGCATTGAGCACGCCATTGACTTAATTCCAGGAGCACCTTTGCCCAACAAGGCTGCCTATAGGTGTAATCCGGAAGAGAGTAAGGAACTTGAAAAGCAAGTGAACGAATTACTTGAGAGAGGTTATGTGAAAGAAAGCCTTAGTCCTTGCGCGGTTCCAGCCCTCTTAGTACCAAAAAAAGATGGTACTTGGAGAATGTGTGTTGATAGTCGTTCCATTAACAATATAACGGTCAAATACCGTTTTCCTATGCCTCGATTGCAAGATATGTTAGATGAGTTGAGTGGCGCCTTAGTCTTTTCCAAAATAGATTTAAGGAGTGGGTACCATCAAATGAGAATTCGAGAGGGGGATGAGTGGAAGACGGCTTTCAAAACAAAACAAGGGTTGTATGAGTGGTTAGTGATGCCATTTGGGCTTTGCAACGCCCCAAGCTCCTTCATGAGATTGATGAATGAAGTTCTCCGTCCTTTTCTTAATGATTTTGTTGTTGTTTACTTAGATGACATTCTTGTGTATAGTAAAAACAATGATGATCATGTAATTCATTTGAGGAGATTGTTTGAAAAATTGAGGGAGGTGAAGTTGTATGGTAAGCTTGAAAAATGTGTATTCATGACTCCTAGTGTTGTATTCTTAGGATACATTGTAACAGGAGAGGGGGTTCATGTAGATCCGGAGAAGGTAAAAGCAGTTCAGTCTTGGTTGGCTCCAACCAATGTGCACGAAGTTAGAAGTTTTCATGGACTTGCCTCCTTCTATAGGCGGTTCATCAAAAACTTCTCTACCATCATGGCTCCAATCACCGAGTTGACTAAAAAGGGTGAGTTCGTATGGGAAGAAAATGCTCAACGAGCCTTTGAGAAGGTTAAACATATGCTTTGCAACGCTCCTATACTTGTGCTACCAGATTTCAACAAAGTGTTTGAGGTAGAGTGTGATGCAAGTGGGATTGGAATAGGTGCTGTTTTGATTCAAGAGAAGAAGCCCGTGAGTTACTTTAGTGAGAAGTTGAATGGGGCTAAGTTGAACTATTCCACTTATGACCGTGAGTTCTATGCCATAGTTAGAGCACTTGATCATTGGTCTCACTACCTTAGACCAAAACCATTTGTTCTTCATTCCGATCATGAGGCTCTGAAATTTATTCATGGGCAACAAAAACTCAATAAGAGACATGCTAAATGGGTGGAGTTTCTCCAATCATTTACCTTTAGCTCCAAGTACAAGGATGGAAAGAGTAATGTTGTGGCCGATGCATTGTCTCGTCGGAGCTACTTACTTTCCATGGTGGATGCTAAGATCTTGGGTTTTGAACAACTCAAGGAATGTTACATAAATGATCCCGACTTTGCTAGCGAGATAGAGAATCCTACCAAAGAGTTTGTGAGACAAGATGGCTACCTCTTTAAAGGTAACAAGCTATGTGTTCCGAAGAGTGGGGTTAGGGAGTTATTAGTGAGAGAAGTGCATGGTGGAGGTTTAGCCGGTCATTTTGGGATACAAAAGACTCTTGATATTCTAGGTGAACACTTCTATTGGCCTAGAATGATCAAGGATGTTACTCATGTTGTGGAGAGATGTGCTACTTGTCAAAAGGCTAAGGGACACTTCACAAAGGGTCTTTATACTCCGTTGCCAGTTCCGGATGCTCCATGGGAAAGTGTTAGCATGGATTTCATTGTTGGATTGCCTCGCACTCAAAGGGGAAGAGATAGCATCATGGTTGTTGTAGATAGATTCTCTAAAATGGCACACTTTGTAGCTTGTAATAAAACTGATGATGCCGTGAAAGTGGCCGAGCTGTACTTCAAGGAAATTGTCAAACTCCATGGCATTCCTCGAAGTATAGTATCTGATAGGGACTCCAAATTCCTTAGTCACTTTTGGAGAACCCTATGGAAACCTGTGGGTACCAAGTTACTATTTAGTACCTCTCATCATCCCCAAACCGATGGGCAAACCGAGGTCACTAATAGAACTTTGGGTACTTTGTTACGAGGTCTTGTGAGCAAAACGCAAAAAGATTGGGACATGAAATTAGCCCATGCGGAGTTTGCTTACAATAGAGCTCATTCCCTAACTACTTCCCGTTCTCCATTTGAAGTAGTTTATGGAGTGAACCCATTTATGCCGATTGATCTTGTTCCTATGGTTAAGAGTGACATGGTAGAGAAAGATGCTAAAAAGAGGGTGGAAACCTTTCAAAAAACCTGTGAGCAAGTGAAGAAAAGAATTGAGGAGATGAATAAAAAATACCAAGAGCGAGCCAATAAGAAACGCAAACAGCCTATTTTTCATCCCGGGGACTTGGTTTGGGTGCATTTGAGGAAGGAGAGGTTCCCTAAGCTTCGCAAAAACAAGCTTATGCCTCGTTCTGATGGTCCTTTTAAGGTTCTTGAGAGGGTGAACGATAGTGCTTACAAAATTGAGCTACCAGACAAATTGATGGGTGTTAGTGCGACTTTCAATGTAGGGGATTTATCACCATACTTTGATGATTCAAGTTTGAGGGCAAACTCTTTTGAAGAAGGGGGGAATGATCCAAAGTGGACATCTAATGAACCTGTTGCTTTAGTCTTAGAGACTCTTGGGTTTTTCCCATTCACAAAGAAGGGTGAAATTCTATGCTGCATTTCATGGGAAGATTGAAGATTGGTACACGGTTGGCTAGCATCACATTTTGGACGCATTTCATGACTATTTTGGGCGTGTGGATCCTAGGCCATTTACTATCTATTATTAACTTATGTGCTAGTTAATGTTGCTGAAATAATGCCAAGAATCTAGCTCTTGGCCGGTTGTAATGGGGGGTTATCAATAGGCTTTATTATGCTTTCATTACTTAGCTTAAATCAAGGCTTAAATCAAGGAGGAAACCATTGGCTGTTGGCCTTTCATTCTTGGACGGTTTCCTTGGCTTTTGGTGTGCTTTTGCTGCTCCTTTCCTCTATAAAAGGGAGAGCAAAACAGAAATTAAGAGGCAGTTTTTGAGATTTGATAAAAAACCTTGTGTTTATAGCATTTTAACTTAGAGTTTGTCTCAAGTTCAAGTGTTCCCTTATTGCTTTGAGTGAGTCTTGAGTGATAAGCTTAGGAGAGATTGAGTGAGTCTTATCTCTGGCCTAAAACCCCAAAACTTTGAGTGTGTCCTTGAGTTTTGGCCCTTTTATCTTGTTCCATGATATTTGAGTATTCTAACTATAAGTATTTTTAAATCCATCAACCCATATTCGGGAGGGGGTATTTAGATTCACATCAGCTTTATATGGTAATTTGTGGGCGATGTTTAGCGATTCACATAAATTAACCTGCCTATTGAAACTAAGTCAAAACATCAATTCTCATATCTCGAATCTCGAATCAATATTGCATAATTCATACAATTAAACCTGCGCAAATCTAATTGCATAGCATTACAACAATCAATAGGAAATTAATCAAAAAATTAACAATCAACAATAATAAATCATCCCTTCATATTAATCATGAATCTCCAAGAACCCTGGAATTAAAACTACTCGTACATAATTAAATCTAAACTAATCAAAACAATTAAATAAGACATAATTAATAAGCAATAAATAAAACATGAAATAAAAGCAAAATAAACAAAAGTAATAATAACGTTATACTAGAAATTGCGTACGAATTCTCAACTAACAAAACAAAAGCAAAGTAAATAAAAAAAAAATTAAAAAGGTCTGACAAAAGCTCAAAACTAATTTATGAAAATAAACTACTAAACTAATCTAATACTACCGAACCTCCAAACTAAAAACTAAGAAAATTTGCCTCCTCCCTTACGTGACTACCAAATCCTTTTTATAAGGAACGAAAAGGAATTTGTTTTTCAGTCAACTTCGGGGGTTGTTAATTGACGTCCAATATTTATCAAGTAACGCCCGTATTTTAAATTAAACATACTAATATACCCCCTCTTAAATAACCCATCAAAACTTTCTCTTCCTCCTTTTCAATCACCCTTCTCTTTCACCCACCCTTCTCTTTCACCCAAATTCAACCCCCAAAATAACCACCACCACCACCGCTTACCACCACATTCAACCACCAAGTATTTTGTTTTTAATCTTGGTGGCGACGCTACAAGGGAGGCGCAGATGTCGGGAAATCGCAAAGACAAGACAGTCGTCATCGGCGAGCAGGTGAGTCGACTTTTTTTTTTTTTTTTTTTTTTTCAGTCGAATTCGAGGAACGCCTGTAGATCTGGAAACTCCAGGCTACGAACGCCCGGAAATTTCAGATCTCTGGGTGTTTGTTCGAAAATTCCAGGCAAACCACGAATGAACGCCCAGAATTTTTGGATCTCTTGGGGTTCATTCGAAAATTCCAGGCGAACCACGAACGACTTTATCTTCTCACTTTGAGGTTGCTATTGAGTGCATTGTTGGAGTTCTTTAGTTGTCATTGCAGTAAATGGGTTGGTGAATTCTGGAATCATTCTTTTCTTTGGTTGTCAGACTAATTCTTGATTATGAAATAGGAATGGAGGGTGACTTTTATCATATAAACCCCTGTGCATACTTGAGATTAGTAGTGCAATATTGTGAGTGTTATACCAATGGTTGCATTGATGGTCCACCTTGTAAGCAAGTTTTTTTTAGGAATTAGTTGAATTTGCGAATTAAGAATTACATAGTTCTAGTATATTGAAATGTAGACTTTGGCATAGTTCTAGGCAGAGAGTATAATTACTATAAATTAATATGTGTGGATGGTTAGTAAAATTGATTTATTATAATATTACTAACCTTAATTTCAGCCATTGTTTCTCTAGTAGACTAGTACTGTAAGTTGGAAAGTGAGATAAGGGATTTACTGTCCAAAAACTTGTGCTGTCATTTCTTTGATCCTTCTGCAGTGTATTTTGTGACTAGTCCTTAGTTACAACTTACAAGTATTACTCATTGAAGCGTAGATTTGAAGTTTTCTGCAATTTTACTTACAATAATTAGTGTGTGTTTTTTAATCACAAACTGCAGCACTGATGTGCTTTTTTTTGTTTTTTTTTCATGAATTATTATTGTAGTATTTATAATGTATTTCTATGATATACTATGAAAATGTAATTGAATAAAAAATTTGCATATGCTACTCATATTTTGCAAAATTAGCTGTGAATGATCGGTTGATTTGCACAAACTATGAGTTAGGACTTAGGATTATAATTAGCATCAAGTAGTCTGTAAATGTCAGTTCATATTTGTGTGTCGTGTAGTTATTTCTTTCAGTTAGAAAAAGATACTAAACACTTACGTTTGTTACTTTGTTTCTCTATAATAGTTATTATGTTATACCTTCTAATTCTTCATCATGTATTGGCTATGAAGGATGCTGGACAGATAATTCTGAGTGGCGAAATCTATATGACCTTGAGGAGCCCCCAAGCACTGATGTTAGCCCTCTGAGATTATGTTTTTGGATGAGAAAAATGTGTTAGCTTTTTAGCAGGCTTAGGATGTATAACTCTCTAATAGTATGCTGCTTACAATGTGTGATATAAACAATAGATTTTGCTTGATGCTTCTGCTTCAGATTAGGGACGGTCACCGGTGGAACGGGTAGCTTAAGGACTGGTGCGCTCTCATACAAGTGATATATCAAGTCCTTCATGCTTGAACCTCCATTCCTGTCCACTTTGACAGCTTGTTTGATTTTATGTTAAGCTTATTGCAATCTTGGAATTCCATCTGGTGCCTTGTTATCACCATTTTTTCTTTATTGTATTGTTGGCAGATATCTCTGACAGTATGTATGAATGTATGATAGTACAGTGGGGTCATGCTATATTCATTAGTTACAAGTATATAGGAATATAGATTATGAATCCAACCTTTTGGATTATAAGAACTTTTGATGAGACCTTTTGTTCTCTTAAGATCATGTCTTATGTAGGAAATTGTCGTGTTTGTGTGAATAAAATATTTTGTGCATGTAACATCCTACATCCTTGATTTTGTTACTTCAGGTGGTTTCCACTTTCAGTTTCTGTGGTAGCGTTTCATGTTCATTTATTTGTGTGCATCACCAAAGTTTTTATCATAAAACATGGGCCACCGCTCCAACGAATACGCTGTATCTCAAAATCCAAACCACTTGGCTCATAATAAATCCTCCTGTATAAGTGTGGATAACCGATGATCTCATTAGCCATGATTTGTCGAGCTAATCTCCATTGCTCTTGATCACCCATGAAGAAGGAGGTAACACAACGAAAGCCGCAATTACCATCACCAATGACATCATTCCATCCGGTTATGTAAGGCAATATAGGTCCGGGGAGCAAGTGAGCGTACCTACATTGTTCGATGTTGAATCCATTTCCTCCTAAAAATACACTTTCGTAATTGGTAGAAAATAAATCATCAATTAATAGATATGAATGTTATAAAAAAAATTATTACAAAAAAATAATTCATACCGGATTCAGTTTGACGGTTTTGCCTTGAATTATGCTGTCTCGACCTTCTCCCTCCACGACCGCTTGTGTTACGCTCAACATTCTCGAAATGGCTACGATCACGCCTAGTAGAACGATCCCGTGGTTGACCTCGTGTTGAGTGATTCACTTCCGGCTCCGAAAAGATCTGAATGATTCGGATGCAGCTCATCTTCAATGATGCGAGAAACATTCTGAATCGTAACAGGGTCACTAGCCAAAACCTCATCGACAAGGGAGAGAAAATGTCTTGCTTCTTCTGCCGACTCATCGACAAACTCCGGTATATCAACACCATCACCAATGACAAGGCTCTGCCAAAATGGATGAATTTGACTGCAATACAACCCCTTCTTATCACGCATTGAATCATAAATCTGGCAAGCACGTGGTATCCCATGGGTGATCCGTAGAGCACAACTGCAACGCTCATGCACCTCGTAACTCAACTCTCTCATTCTTTGCGTCTCATCGTAAAGAACAGACAGACAATGATGAGAAACTTTTCCATTAAGCCGCTGCAACGGCATGTGCATGTACTTCTCACCCACTTTAGATCTACTAGCCTCCAAAGCGTTACGTATTCCAACGATCTGATTTTCAATCTGGCAATGCACTCGAGCCCATACCGTATCCAAAGAACCAGTCGATGATTCCATCCAACTCTTGACCGCTGAGTGCTGACTCTCAACCCTACATGTAGAAACATTACCATAGTGCATAACTTTGTTCGTCCAACACGTCACAAATTTCTCTTTATGGGGAAGCCAAGTAGTCTCAACGTAATCCACAACTTTTGGATACCAACCCCAACTTGTTTTCAAACTCTGCAAGGCTAACTCATATTCCAGCTCAGATGCTGCATTCATGACTCGTTTCCATCTACCATTTTTGAACTTTGCACCCACTGTCTTGTCCTTAAACAATCTAGTCACATAAGCTTCGACATCTTTATTAATGTGCCACCTACAAAGTAAAAGCGTAGTGTGAGGAAACTCGGCTTTCAATGCTGCACAAAGTCCAAGCTCACGGTCAGTTAAGAACACTGATGGCTCCTGTTGGTATCCGATCAAATTCCTCAATCTCTGAAGCACCCATCGATAACTAGCTTGTGTCTCGTTTCTCATGAACACATATCCAACAAGGAAATTCTGATTGGTCGGTGTAACCCCAAATATCTCAAAGAATGGCATGCCGTATATGTTTGTCTTGTATGTGGAGTCCATACCAATCACATACGGATATGTGCGTAACAAGTTGCACGTGATCGGATGCACCATGAATGCATGCTGTAAAACACCGATGTCATCATCCATAACCCAGTAAAGGTAGTGACTCTCTCTAGCCAAATGCAGTAATTGTTGAACCACTCCTCTTCCTTCGGAATCCTCCATTCTGATGTCACTTCTACAATTGTATATATGCCTGATGTTTGGATGATCTTCAGAAAATTGCTCTATAATGGTTTCCATGATATTACGAGGGGCAACCTTTGACCTCGTCAAGTTACGCACAACCTGTTTCGCACCTGGACTAAGACCGCTGATTTGTCGATGACCTTCAGGATACACAATGAAAGGATGATTGTGGGTGCCGGTTACATCATTTTTAGCACAGATCCTCCAACCATCAGTGCTTCTCTCGTAATATATCTTGATGTAGAAAGGACACCCAACGGACTTGGTTTTAGTGTCCTTGGGAATCACATTCTCCAAATCTCTTGACCTTTTCTTCCGACCACGATTGCAAGCCAAATATCGATACGGCCGACCATCGGTGGTATTTTTGTACGATGCTGAGACAAATATAAATCCAATTGGCCAGGAAATTTCTTTCGCCCATTCAACAACAGCATCATAACTAGGAAACACTGTGCCGGTTTGAAAATGGCCACTATAATTCACACCATCACCACCGTTTTCTGAATCCTATATAAAAACCACAAACAAACTACTTAAGAACCCATATAATAATAATAATAATAATAATAATAATAATAATAATAATAATAATAATAATAATAATAATAATAATAATAATAATAATAATAATAATAATAATAATAATAATAAACGACAAAAATACGATAATAATAAGTACAAACGCCTGAAATGATTGAATGTACCATGGAAGAAACGCCTGAAAATTTAGAATCTACCGTGGGACATTCTAAAATTTCAAGCGTTTCTTCCATGGTTTGCCTGAAAATTTAGAATGTTTACGGTAGATTCTAAACTTTCAGGCTTTTCTTCCATGAACATATTTACAATTGTGAGAAACGCCTGATATTTTTGAATGTACCATGGATGAAACGCCTGATAATTTAGAATCTACCAAGGACATACTAAAATTTCAGGCGTTCCTACCATGGTTCGCCTGAAAATTTAGAATGTCCTTGGTAGATTCCAAAATTTCAGGCATTCCCATGAACATTTGAAAATACAATGTGAGGAACGCCTGATATTTTTGAATCTTCCATGGACATTTTAAATTTTCAGGAGTTCCTACCGGGGTAGATTCTAAATTCTCAGGCGTTTCTCTGGCAGTTACGAAATAAAAAAAAAACGAAAAAAATACATCGTACTCACAGTCACAGGCAACTCCGGTGGCGTCGACAATTATGCAAACTCGTCCACTCACCGCTTGTGTAAATCGTTTTTGAATAAAGGTTTTTTTTTTTTTGGATGATGAATAATGGTGGCTGGTGGTTATCTGGTGGCGGTGGCTATTCGATGGCTAGTGGGGTAAAAATAAAATAGTGTAAATTTATAAGGTATAAAAGTAAATTAGGGTAAGAGTAAATTAGGATAAAATTAAAAAGAGGGCATGTTTGTAATGTCATGTTAAAGTACGGGCGTTACCTGGTAAATACCGGACGCGATTTAGCAATTCACACTTCTAATCCTACTGAAACTAAAGCTGCGTCCAACATCCGCAATACATAGGCTTTTTTTTACATTTAAGCCCAATTAAAATATAACTGACCAAACACAACAGCTGCCAAACCAATCGGGTACTGTGCCATCCGATCAGGCCCAATCAACTGGGCAACGTGTTGGCCTGCTTGGATTCTTGGATTTGTAACTTGTGCTTTTATATAAATTGGCCCAATTTCATTCTTCTTGATATCCAAGTATTGGATTAATAAAATTAGTACTCCAAACAAATCGAGCCCTTAATCACCGCATCAAATTTAATTAACTCAATCTTGGGCTTTAAATATACTATCATAAAATACAATCCGACTCCTATATCTTCGTAGTGGTCTAATAAGACCGGAAATTGTTATAACTCTGCAAATTCCTACAAAATAATGCCAACTCTACGAAAACACTAGAAAACGTATATTAGTAATAAAATAGCTCCGCAGAGCTCAAATAACCACAAATATGACCATGGGACGGGGAATAAAAATATTTATAAAATAGACTCATCAGATACTAAACGGATTAATAACACATCTTAGCATGTCACTAATAAAAATCATAATTAAAGCGTTAACCTAAACATGATATTAGACATCATAATAAACATCCTAATCATGATATTAGAAATCATAAAAACATCCTAACAAGATACTAGAAATTAAAATAATATTCTAAACATGATTTCTACTCCAAAATCAAGGAATAAGGATAGTAGATCCACTCACTTTGATGCTTCAACCTTCTTGATATTAAAACAATACACACATTAGTAACTTCAAGAAAGATTTAAATCAATAAAGTAAATAAATCAAATAATAATTGAAATAGAGATTTGGGACCAAACTCTTAGAACTATCAACCTTTCATGTCGAGGTCGAAGGCAACGTCGAGGATGACTAGGAGTATTCAAGTCTCGCGAAGGAGGTATTGTGTTTGATTTGGGAGAGTATCAAGGATGTGTGTTTGGATGTGTTTAGGTTAAGGCTAAGAATATGAAGAATTAAGAGAAAGAGAGAGAATATTAGAGAGGGTATTGATGATGATTGTTGGTGAATGAAAACGGTGACACGACCTCTATTTATAAGAAAAAAAAGAGAGTCGAAACGATCAGAAAAGAGTTAGAATTCAAATTAAAGTAAAACACCTCTCATTACGGCGCAACAGCTTTATCGCGGCGCAACAGGTCCATTGCGGTGCGTTGAGCCTATCGCGGCGCAATGGTGCTGTCACTTAGCGATGGTTTTTGAAAAAGATAGAATTCGTACGTAGTTTGATTCCCAATCGGATTGGGTTAAACAAATATTCGTACGTATTCTATTTTGACGGGGATTAGGATCTTTGAAAAACAGATGTTTTATTCGATGTAAAATTCTTAAATCTTTATCTTTTCAAAAACAGGATAAAATTTATTCGATGTAAAATTCTTAAATCTTTATCTTTTCAAAAACAGGATAAAATAGAACCCTCTAGAGTTTTCTAGAAGCTCACAATAAATCCTTATTAGTTTAGGAATGGGATTAAGATAATGGACCCTCCTCATGATCATTGGATCGCAGGTAAGGCTTGGTTCGGGCTCGATTTAGTATTTTGGTAATT